CGAAAAAATTTAGTTTGAGTCTAGTATTAAAAATAATATATAATAGAATATTTTGTAAAAAAAAAAAAATATCGCATAATTCAAGCAGTAAAACTTGGGGTTTTAATGCAAACAAAACAAACCTTTGGAATATATTTGTTTATATATATTTATATGTGTATATATATATATATATACATGTATGAGTAATATATGCATATCTTACTCTAAAATTCATGGTGCAAAAATAAATTTAAAAATATAGAATGATCTCTGTATACTTGTGACTACCTTTTGTTATAAATTGACAAATTTGTCCTTAATTGTATGGTAGAGATTAAAAGTAACAAATGAATAATAAAAAAGTAGGACATTAGTTTGTGAACGGATTGAGTAATATATACGTGTTGGATGTCTCTAGTGTTTGTCTATTTAGTCTATATATATATATATATGTGTGATATATATGTGTACGTATATATATATATTGATAATATTTTATCTTTGAAATTAATATATGATCAAAATTTACTCTAAAACATTATTTTAAGGCTGAAATTATTATATTCAAAATTTATTTTTCACACAAAGTATTATCTTTATATCCCATTTCTATTTATAAATAATGATTTAAGTGCAATTGAGCATATATATATATACATTATAATATTTAGAATGTAAAGATATGTTTGGTTATGTTTTAATTTCACATTATTACTATTTCTAAAACATATCACATTTAATATAGATATATATTACACGAAAAAACTATTTTGAATTAATTTTTATTATTTTCAAAATATTTTAAAAGATCAAAGGAATAATTAGAATATGTATATATTTTTCTTAATTTGTACTACATTTTGATATAATAATTAATATTTAAATATTAATATGCAAAAAATAAATGAGACTCTTAAAGTCGGACGAATGTAGTATACACTAAACCTACCAAATACCCCATTTGGGGGCCATCCACCCATATGTGTGTGTGTGTGTTAGAAATGAGAATTCCTAGACAATGCTAGAATGCTCTTGAGAAATATACACACATACATACTATTAAATATTAGACATAACAATATCAAGAAATGAAATGAAAATGAAAGAAACAAATGATATATAATTAATGAGTCAATGTATGTATAGTAGATTGTGACAAAATAAATTGGGTAGCTATAAATGTGAAGTTGGTAGCAAATTGATCAAGATTTGATCCCAAATTTGATAATTTCTTGTGTTATACTCTCTCCCTCCCGGTCCAAATGGGCTCTTTGGGATATTATAGTAGATTAAGAAATAATAGTATTTTATTAGTTATTGGAAGTGTGTAAGAAGTTTTGATAATTTTGACATTTGACTTTATGTAAAAAGTAATTGTATGTGTAACGATATCTTTGTAATTTAGGTGAAAATTAAGGGTATTTTGGTATCAGTGTATGATTACTTTTACTAAAATAGAAAAAAGATACTTTGTAGTGAGACGAAAATAGTAAATTTGGTACTTTGAGTTGGAACGGAGAAAGTATTTGTCTAATGCAATCCAACCAATTCACCATCAAGATTTCGAGATTGTATTGCAGTTGGAAGACAAGACATATTGTAATGACTTTAGGGTTTGCTTATTATATATTTAATCATCATTTGTCTTTTATTACACGTTACTAACTCATTTTTTTCTAGTTACTAACAACAAATATCTTACTTAATTAATTCAACGTTTATATATTTATATATATAATGATTCGTTTGAGTTGGAGCGCGAGGGGTGAGGTCTTTTTCGTTGAAATTGTCATCTTTCTATACATATGTAGATGCATCTCGCGAGTATGGACAAGTTGAATCGCCAAGTCAACTAATACGTTGGCAAATACTTATTTTTGCCTTTATGCGCGTTAGACCAAAAAAATTAAATAAAATATATAAATAAATTATAATTTGTTTTTACTTTACAAATGTTCGATAAGAAATTAAAAGAAAAAAGAAGAATTCTTTATATATAACATACACTCCCCCGCCATAAAATAAAAAAATAAAGTAGATATATTTTTAGACGACGACTAAAATAATTTTTCTTTTCCTATGAGAGACAAGGGTTGGCTTTTTGTCATGCATGACATAAGGTACATGGTTCCATGATATCCTCTTAATAACTTGGGTAAAAATAATGCATGTGATCGATATATTTGTTAAATTCAATTACATTTACACGAGCTACAATGAGTACAAAATGACAATCTTTCACACGGTTTGTTTGTAGGTTTTTGAAAAATTGATTTGAGTCGAAAATAGTAAAATTTTGAATTGGATTAATTATCGGATGTACTATAAACATGTTTATTGTAATGTTTTGAATGTAATTAAAATTGATTTTTAATATAATAAAAATAATAAAATATAATTGTTTGATTTGATTTTTTTTAAGATAAAAATATATATATATAGTAAAAAGTAAAACTTAGGTTTAAAACTCACAAACAAATACTCCATCCGTCCCATATAATTTGTCCATATTTTTTATTTTCGTCCGTCCCACATAATTTGTCCCTTTCTTTTTTGGAAAATTACTTATACACTTTAATCATATTTTAAAATTTAAAAATTAATTTTTTTTAATCTTAATTAAACTATTTAGTTATCGTAATCTTAATCTATAATTATTTTTACTAATATATTTCTTAATTACTTACTAATTATACTTTACCTAAATTCTCGTATCTACAGTACGTAATACACCCATATTCCATGGGACGGAGAGAGTACAAATTACTTTTATAATACACTCAAATACATACACATACATATACATATAACTAAGAAGGAACAAATAAGTTGATAAAATTGTAAGGTTGCAATGGATGATATATGACAAATTGATTATTAGATTGCACAGAAGTAAACACACAAAGAAAAAATAAAATAAAATTGAAAAAGTATTTTATGTAATTGTCATTATGAGGAAGAAGATATCAATGCTCACGGACTTCTCTTGACTTTGCAGATCACACACACACATACACATATAGATACATAACATATATATATATATATATACACACTCAAAGTTTGAGTAGCTTACAACACTTAAATCTTAAATAGGATAAAAATAAAAAAATAATAATTTAAATTAAAAAAAAAAAAAAAAAAACTAGAAATGATGAGTGGTATGTTTGGTTGTAATTTAAAAATGATTTTTTTTTTAGAAAAAAAAAATTAATTTAAATAATATTTTATAAACATGTACCACTACAATAAAATATTATTTTTGTAACGAAATTTTCTCCTCCCTAAATCTATTTTTTTCGTTACTAATAAAATTAGAGACGGAATTAAGGATGGAATTACGTTAGCTACGTGAATTTTAGCGACAGAATTCCGTTACAAATATACTATTTTTTTTTTGTAGTGAAATACTTTTTTCGTCCCTTAACAATCTATCTATTTTTCCATTTTAGTCCGTCCCATAACAAAGTATTCATTTTCTTTTTTTAATAATTGTACTAGCTAACTAACATTACAAATATCCTTCCAATTTACAACATATTACACAAATGTCATTACCTTTATATCATACCATACTAATAGGGTTAATTTAGTCCTTTTATCTTTATTTCTACTTTATCCTAATATAATACTAATATTTTTAAAACTCCGTGCAAAAAACAAATAGATATATAGATATGGGACGAAATGAGTAGTATTTATTTTGATTTAGGGATGAAACCAAACAAGGAATTAAGCACAATTAAAACACAGCACGTCAAAATTAAAATACGTAGTGATTTGTTTGTCATAAATTATAGACACACTATTATATTTTCTAGAATCCATACCTATATATAAATAATTAAAATAATTACTCTGCACATTAGATATAATTAATTCAATTTGACTTCATATAATTTTATACAGAGGTAAGCAAAATATTTGAAATTCGAATATTCAATCTGAATCTGAACTAAACTCAAATTTAGATTTTGGTTTGAATTATTAGCTCCAATTCATTAATTAACTTATGGGGATATTTTAGGGTTTGTTTTGTCGCAATTTGAAATTATTTTGAGTTTTTGTTTAAACAATATTTTTATGTGATATTTTGTGAGAAAAATAATATATTTTATTAAAATATGTTGAGTAAATAATATTAATTTGAATTTGAATTTAGAAAAAAATAAATAAATAATTTCTTAATTGAAAGGATCTTGCATTTATCAGTGCGTGCACATAGAAAATGTGCTCCTCTTCAAAATTTAAAAGAAAGATTTCTACTTTAGAATTAAGTGGCAACATTTATTACATAAATATACCCTTCAATATATATATATGTATATATTTCTTTTATCCCAAAAAGAAAAAACCAATATGATCATTTATTGAGTATATTAAATTTATTGGGTATCATAGAAAAATATATATATATATATATATATTTAAACGAGCCCATGATGTCATCATATCATATACTAAAAGACAATATATAAATATATATATTCTCATTCTCTCCCTATCTCATTTTGTTCATTTGTTTACTGTCCATATATTAATATTTTATTTTTTTTTTATATAAGAGGTCTAATAACTATTATTTTTTTTTTTAAACATAAATTTTATATTTTTACTCTACATTCATTTATTACTTTTAATCTCTACTATACAATTAAGGAAAAATTTGTCAATTTATAATAAAAAAAAAATAATCACTACTTTAAGATAGTAGAAATTAGACAGAGAGAGTATTATTCAAAAATAAAAAAAATAAAAATCTCCACCTCAATTAATTTCACGTATTTTCTAGCTCCAAACCCACCGCAATGACTAACAAGTAATTAATTTATATGTCCCTAATATATACATATTATTATTTTATGCCATGTCCCTTTCTCATATTTAACACCCTTATAATTACAACCTCTAATTATAAAATTCCCTCAACATATATTTATTTAATTTTGCAAATTACACACACCTTTCTATATCTCTCACCACTTGTCTACAAACACAATTGAGCCTACACTCCCCTCTCTCACTCTACAATAATTCCATGTATATATCTCAATATTATTCACAAATAAAAAAGCCCACATAGAGAGAGAAAAAAAAAAAAAAGAGAGAGAGAGAGAGAGGAAAGAAGATTACAGGGCAACACTCACACACCCCCAAAAACCCTATTCAAGAACAAGAAGCAGATACATATACATATTTATATATATTAATAATTGAAGATGAGATAAAGAAGGAAGCTAGGTAGGTGATCGATAGATCCATCAAGAAATCTATATATATACATACATATATATATATATAAGGCAATGATTGGTTCGATGGAGGATGAGGATCGAAGCAGCAGCAAGCAGAAACAGCAGCAATTAGGTTTAGACGAAGAAGAAGATGAAGAGCAAGAACAATCAGAGATAGTGATGCCGGGATTCCGATTCCACCCGACGGAGGAGGAGCTGGTGGAGTTCTATCTCCGGCGGAAGGTGGAGGGGAAGCGGTTCAGCGTGGAGCTCATCACCTTCCTCGACCTCTACAGGTACGACCCCTGGGAGCTCCCCGCCATGGCCGCAATCGGAGAGAAGGAGTGGTACTTCTACGTCCCCCGCGACCGCAAGTACCGGAACGGCGACCGGCCCAACCGCGTCACCACCTCCGGCTACTGGAAGGCCACCGGCGCCGACAGAATGATCCGCAGCGAGGCCAACAGTCTCCGGTCGATCGGCCTGAAGAAAACCCTCGTCTTCTACTCCGGCAAGGCCCCCAAAGGCATCCGAACCAGCTGGATCATGAACGAGTATCGTCTCCCCCTCCACGACACCCAACGCCTCCACAAGGCCAGTCCCCCTAATTCATTTCATCTCATTTCCCCTAATTTTGATTGATTGATTCATTAATTTCAAAAACCTAGAATCTAGGGTTTGTTCTTGTTCTTGTTCTTTTTTTTTTTCTTGGGAGAGGGATTTGGGTTTGGATTTTAATTAGGTATTATTAGGGTTTTGATTGTTGAAGATAAGTTTTTTATATGGTGAATAATTATTAGCAAAAAAAATTGATGCAAGGAAAAAAGAAAAAAAAAATCAAATCTTGTAAATTTTATCAAAATTTATGTGTATTAGCAAAAAAATTGTGTAAATAAGTATTAGCAAAAAAAATTGATGCAAGAAAAAAAATATATATCAAATCTTGTAAATTTTATTAAAATTTATGTGTATATATATAATAGGTTTCATTTCATCCCAATTAACATTACAAGAAATAAGTATATTTGTAACAGAATTTCGTCTATAAAATTCACATAGTTAACGTAATTTCATTACTAATTTTGTCTCTAATATCATTACTAATGGCAAAAATAGATTTAGGGACAAAAAAATCTAATTACAAAAATAATATTTTCTTATAGTATAATTTGATTGATGATGATGATCCCAATGTTGCAAAACCCTAATGATACCTAAGTTAAAGAAGATTTCATTTAGTTCTTGATCAGCTATGAAATTTTAAATTTTTTTGAAATGCTTGACCTTAAATGCTGAGAAAAGACAGGAACATATGAAATCCGTGAACCCCATATTCAAATTCAAGTACCCCTCATTCAATAATATTAATTCCCAAAAATCTTACAACAAATGTTACTAAAATCTCCAAAAACTCCATTGTCCTAATTAACTCTTTCCATTTTCATATTTTTTCAGGCTGAAATCTCCCTTTGCCGAGTCTACAAGCGCGCCGGCGTAGAAGACCACCCGACCCTCCCCCGATGTCCTTCCGGCCGCGCCACCTCATCCAAGGCCTCACATTCATCCAAGAATGTCCACCACACAACCACCAATTCGCCGGCATTCTTACACGGTGGATCATCATCGTCAAATGCTAATAAAGTAGGCGAGTCGAGCCCGAGTAGCAGCACAGACATAGGCACCACAATTGCCCTAAATAGCCCCAACAAGAACAACCCTAATTTCCAAAATTTCAATAATCCATTGCTGCCCTCCCAACTCATGTCTTCTTCCAACATAATAAATCATCCAGCTGGAGATTTGGATGATCAAACCATGATTTTCTTACAGTCCAAACATAATCCTCCTGCAGTTCTTTCCCAACCTAACTGTAATAGCATCTTCTCCACCACGATGATGATGCCGGCATCTCAACAAATCGATGATCTTCATAAGCTCGTGCACAGCATTCAGAATTACTCAACTCATCATCACCAGATTAGTACATTGCCTAATATTCATCATGATCAAAATCATAACCCTCATCAGTATTCTGGTCTTCTTCAACAATTCTCAGCTATGCAGCCGCCGCCACTGCCGCCTAATATTTCTCCGACTGCCGCCTTCCAGTGGGACTGGACCGCCATGTCAGAGACAAGCAAGGACTTCACCAATCTATTCAAGTAACAACACAATATATATATATGAAGTTCTTGATAATCAATTATTAACACTGCTATAATATGATCGATGTGCTAATGCTGATTACCTATCTATATATATATAATTCATTATATATGATGTTTTTATGTCTATAATTAAGTGTTGATGATTCTTGATGCTAAATTAAACTTGGTGTTACGGGCCAGCATTAGAGGAGTTCAATTACATTGGTGCTGATTTTAATTATTTCTTGCTAGGGTTTCTGGAAATTATTAATTTGTGGGAACATTTTGGTTTTTCATATGATTTGGTCATCAAAATTTGGGAAATTAATTAATTAATTTATTCTACTTATATGATACTAAGGGTATGTTTACTAATTAATTAAGGTGGATTGTGTGAGTTTCTTTAGTTTTTTTGTGGGATTATTTAATCTTTATGTGTTGGTTCAACTATATATATATATATATATAATATTTTTCATCTTAAATCAACAATGTGCTTGGTTATAATTAATCACATTTACACTGAACTGAACCCTTTATTCCTTTTTTTGCTTACACAAATGTTATAATTATTCTTATGCATAATATACCCACACACATATATATATATATATTGTTTAATCACCCATTGTATGTAATATTGAAGAATTTTTATTCAAAATTATTAGGTATGTTTGGTTTTGGATTCTTTATTTAAGTATTGTTTTAAATAATATTATAACATACTAATGTTTTATTTGAAAAAAATAGTATTCATGCATCCTTCACAAGTAATATCATTCAATTCATTATATATATTTTTTTATGACGAGGAAACCCGCAGCCGCTACTCGAAAGAGTGCACTGGGTAACCCCGGCCGAATCTAATATCCTACAAATTAGGCGAATTGAACCATGTGTGGCAGGTGACCCGAGGACCCATGACTTCGCGGTCACACGTCCAATCTCCGCACCACCAGACCATCGCCATTGCCATCGCTTACGAGACGAGAATATATGGATTTTTGTTTGGTAAACTGATGGAGTATGAATATAATCATGGAGACAAAAGAAAATGTCTGTTAGTCATATGTGTGTGTTTATGTCTTTGTAGAATATTATACTCATTAACTAAGACTAGCAGAAGACTGACTGTTCAGAAAGAAATTGGGACCCCGTTTTATATATATATATATATATATATCACAAGGCACACACACTCAAATTAACATGCATACGATAAAAACAAATGAGACAAATGAATAATAATGCACCCAACTAAAAGTGTGTTTATTTTGTGTTTTTGGTTTGACGAGAAAAAAAATTTTATATGAGATATGGAAAATTGTGTAAGTAGCATAAAATAATGAATATGTGTAATAATATTATTCGCGGTCGTAAATCCACTTCACGCTATCAATTCGGCTACTCTTTACACATAACTTTACTTACACGACATATTGCATGTCGTTCGTACTTTCTGTCCGTCCCACGTACCATGTCACTTTCTTTTTTTGGAAAATGATTACACACTTTAATCTCATTTTAAATTTTTTAATTTTATTTTTTTTAAAATTTTAATTAAACTAATTAGTTATCTTAATCTTAATTTATAATTATTTATATTATAGGATAATTATTTTCACTAATACATTATTAATTATCTACTAATTACACCCCTCCTAAAATACCGTGTCTCAGTGTAGCAGACATGGTATCTGGGACGGAAGGAGTAATTAATTAATCACCTTTTGTTTTTTGTATTATTTATTTATTTCTTAAATTTTAATTAAGACGATTATTTGATTATACATATCATACATATATATGTATATATATCACTTGTTGTCTTAAGTGTGAAATTCGTAAGTGGTGTATGATTTTATGAAGTAGAAGATCATCATTATCACTACGTTAAATTAATTTCTTTGTACGTAATAATGTCTCTGAATGTAATAAATTACAGAAGTGCATGAGTATGTATTTAAATATGAACATATATAATTACACTTTTTTTTTTTTTTTTTTTGGTTATGTCTATAAAATTTGAAATTCTGGTGATCACTTCATCCAATAATATTATAACATTATCGTTTTACCCGAAATTTGGCTTTTGGATGCCAATAAATATTAGGTATCGGAAGGATGAAAAATGTGAATTTTCGGCAGATTTAAGAAAATCTCGGGGCTAATCTTTCATACGTATAATGGATAGATGAACGGAAAATAAAGTAAAAAAATTGACAGAATTCGACGCAAATTAAAAGAAATTAAATAAAATTTGCACAAATTAAATGGATAAAATAAAAAATACATGAGGATTGAATTTTGGGTGTGTGTGGACGTGTGTTCTTTCTTCATGTCTTCTTCCTTTTATGTCCTCTTGAAAAATTCCATTAATCTTCCTTCATTAATCCTTCATTTAAATTGTAACTTCTCTATTAATCCTCTTCGAATTATTACATTATAACCCCATCGATTATTTTTTTTATTACCTTCATTTTAAGTTCATCATGAATTAACTTCATTCGACTCTTTTGTAATGAAGTTATCATGAACTCTAATAATTTCACTAGTAGTGAAATCTCCAACTCTAAGTGTTCTTTTAGGGTGTGTTTGTTTGGGGGGTTTTGGATTTTGAGTTAGAATTTAAATAGTAGAAAATTTGAATTTGAATAGTTGTATGATGTGATACCGTTGTTGATGTGATATTTTGAATATAAAATTGATTTTTAGTATAATATAAAAAATAAAAAATTAATATTTGATTTGATATTTTTGGAAGAAAAAAATTTGATTAATATTGTATTTTGGGGGAAAATCCCCCAAACAAACACATTCAGCCACATTTTTTCCTTGTATTTTATGGGCTTTTCTTGGGGCTTTTATTTTCCCTTTTTTAAAAATTTACTTTTTCTGTTATTAATGACATTAGAGACAGAATTAAAAATAGAATTACGTTAGCTACGTGAATTTTAAGGATAGAATTCCGTTACAAATATATTATTTTTTTTAGTGTTTTTCCTTGTATTTTATGGGCTTTTCTTGGGGCTTTGTTTTTTTTTTACAAGTCTTTTCTTTGGGCTTTTATTTTCCCTTTACTCCAAAGCTATGGGCTTTTTTTGTGCTTTCCTCCAAAATTTTGGGCTTTGTTTTAGCCGGTGATAACAATCACAAAAGGTTATAAGTATTAATATATAGGTATATTTTTACTCATGTTTTTATTACTAAAAAGAAAATCTATAGTGATATTAAATCATATATTTATTTTTTATTTTTATATATTAATTAAAAATTAATTTTATATTCGAAATAGTATATCAATATCGATTTAATAAAATCACATTAAATAATTATTTTAATTTAAAATTTTTATTATTCAAATTTAATTTGAAAAACCCATTAACAAATGGAGCTGATGATCAAAGGTGGGTTTACGAGAAACCTCTAGTGGTATGCAAAACAATTACAAAAATGACAAGCCAATAAACATAAAGCTGACAAAAAGGGCCAAAAAATTAATATGTCGATTGAAATCAATTATATTGAATTAAAAACTATAAAATAAAGAGAAAATAATATATATATATATAATGTAGGAATTTGCAATCGCTACTCTTTAAATGAGTTATAGGTAAATTTATGATCGAACTTAATACTCTCAAAATTAAACCCGACAAGACTTTAAACTTTTTTTTTTTTTTTTGATAACGTGGGAACTCTTGCTACTTCGGTCAAATTTAATAGCCTACAAATTAGATCTGGGTCACGAGCCCACTTCCATACTACTGGGTATCCCTTACGAGACAACCAGGGCCAGCCCTCGGCCCGGACGGGAGGGGCACCTGCCTAGAGCCCACGAGAAACAGGGGTCCATTATATATTTATATTATATATTTATAATTTATATGTATATATAGTTTATTTTATATATAAAAATAAAAATATTGTAATTTGGTGGTACAAAGATTAATTTTTCAAAGATTAATTTTTAATATTGAGGTCTTAAGTTCAAATCTTATATATCTCAACCTTTTGGAAATGTCACATTTACCTTATTTATATTTTATTATATATATATTTTTTTTTTTTATGCCACGGGCCCTTCGAAAGTCAGGCCGGCCCTGGCTGCCATTTTTTTGAACTTGCATTTTTTGGCTGAATTTTAGCGTGATCCATAATTAATTGATCTTGGGCTAATGTCATCTCCAACCCATCAATTTCATTTATTCAGTTTTTACTCTAAATATGTCGTTACTACAGTAATTTTATTCCAATCGTAACTCTAATTTTCACTATTATTTTTCAAATATTCAAATTTTCCTATTACTTTAAACAAATTTTTATTTTTATAATTTAAAATAATTTATTTTAAAATTTAGAAAAAATAAATAAATTTTAAAATTTAAAAAAAAAAAAAAAAAAGGGGGTGCAACGCTTTATCCGTAAGATTAGACCGATTTTAATAGTTGGGCCTAACACTAACCAAATTTTATTGGGTTGGACTAAATTGATTTTTATTCGATCGGATGACATTTTTAAAAAGATCGGCCCATTTTTACTGACAAAATTTTTGTAGCAACAATAACAACGTAAAAGTATTATATTAATCTAATCGAGGTCCCGATGTATTGGTGCAGCTTGGACAAGGGAGTTAAAAATAATGATCAACAGTGATTTTAGAAATTGTATGCATGCTTCAAATAATTATTCACATTTTTTGGTTGAGTTCAATTTTATTCTTTTTTACTATTAATCCAATTCAAAATTCGAATATTAAAAAGATAGTGGATCATATCTGTAAGTTTTTCCATGCTCAATCTATTGCTATTTTTATTACAACTTTTAAATTTATTTTCCAGCCCAAAACTCGCCGGAGAAACACACCCTAGATTTAAAAAGGATAATTATTAGAAGTGTTTAAAATTTTAAATATTTTTAATGAATATCATCAAAATAATTATTCAAACCTAATCCTCCCCACTATGGCTAATCACTTAGAAATTATTACAACAAAAATAGATTAAATTCTTTAAAAAAAATTCAATCTTTTTTAATGATATATCAAACTTTTAATTTTCAACCAAAAAGTGTTTGAACTTATTTTTAGTTGTTGTGTGCTTTGTGTTGACATCAATCAAAACTCATTTTTCTTCTTCATTATTTAAAATAAACTATTACTCTTTACAATTGTAATAATTTTATATTTAAATTTAAAAATGTCTTGTTTTTGTATTTCTTATTATATTTAATTGAATAATTTAAATACATACAAAATTCAATTATTTGGGTTTGTTTACTTGTTGAGTTTTTACCTTAATTTTGCTATTCAAATTATTTTTTCTTTTTCTAAAAAAAAACATAAAATCAAACACCTATTATTTATTTATTATATTACACAAAAAATTTATTTTACATTCAAAACATCGAATGAATACATATTTATATCAAATTAAATAACTATTTTAATTCAAAATTTTACTATTTAAAATCAAAATTTTACAAGTAAATATATTTTGTTTGAGTTGGCCCAACAAAAATGGATGAATGAATTTGTAAAATCATTTACAAAAGAAAAAAAAATGGTTCAATGGAATATGAAATATTATGGTGTATTTCTTTGGTAAAATTTTGAAAAAAATTTATTTGACTTTGGTATTAAAGTAATATTTAATGAGATATTTTGTAAATTAAATATATATTTTTTTAAAAAAATATATGTATAATAATAAATATTATTTCAAAAATACAATTTTTATAATTAATGATGGTTAATGTATTCATAATAATATTATGAGAAAAAGAAATATAATTTTTTGATTCTTACATTCCATAAAACTAAAGAAATCATTCTTACTTCAAACATTTTCTATATTTAAACAAATAAATTTGATACAACAAACAGAAAAAGAAAAATTATGTTTCTAAAAGAAGAATTATCATACCTATCAATAGAAATAAAATTAAAAATCCACTAATTCAAAAGAAAATCTATTTAAAAAGAAAAATTGTGCTAACATTCCAAATGTATTTTAAGATAAAAAAATTATATATATATTATTAATCTCACATAAAATAAGATTTTATAGAAAAAAATATTTCAATCAAAGCTATATCAATTCAAATGAATTGGGAATTATTAGAGATATATAAAAACAAACAAATTTAAAGCCTATTAGATTTTTTTTAAAAAAAAAAATTTATTAGATCTTTAAAATTATCATGATTATGCATCATCTTCTATGTTATAAATCATGCAGAAAAAAGAACGTGATGTTCAAATGTTAGTTATTAATTACAAACTTTTAAATAAAGTTGTTCAATAGATTAAATATCATATTTCAAATGAAAGAAATTTACTAAATAGATTATAGGATGTAAAAATATTTTCAAATTTTGATTTAAAGTTTGGATATTGACAAATCCAAATGATCGAATAATATAAATATAAAATATCTTTTACAGCTCCTTTTGGTCATTACGAATGGAATGTAATATATTTTAAATTAATATAAAAAAATGTAATGTCTTTTACAACTCCTTTTGCTATATTGTTATTACTTTGTAAATAAAATTATTATTTAAATATATTTTGAATTCGAAGAATACTTATATGTATGATCCAAAATATATTATTATAGGCATAATAGAAAAATTATTCCCTTTTTATTATCTTTCTATATCTAATTCAACAAAAAATACTACTTTCCTCGTTATAAAAAAAAATAAAATGCTACTTTCCTTCTTCTCCCCTTCTTCTTCGTATGGACAAACAAAACAATATTCATGATTTTAATATTTTTTTTTCTCGTTCTTTCTCTATGTCTCTCTTCTTTTTTTTCTTTTTTTTAAAATTTACGTTAAGACTTTCACTAATAATCTGTTTATTAATTTAAATACTCCATTATTTTTGTAAAAAAAGTATCATTTCTTTTTTCACATAATTTTTTTTTTATGTTAGAATTATATTAGTTTGTAATTAAAATGACAAAAATATTCTTACTAGTATTGTATAATACAAAAGTAATGACATTTGTATAATATATTATAAATTATAAGATCATTTATTATATCAAGTACATAATATAATTATTAACTATGAAATGACACCGTTATATTGAGGTTGACAAAAATGAAAAGTAACACAGATGAACATTTCTTTTATTTCAAAAGTTGTTTTCCCAACTTGGGCATAATTCAATTTATTGAGAGTGTTTTTTTTAATAAAAATTATTTGAATTTTTTATTTTCTAAAAAAAATTAAAAAAATTCTTTTATAAAATATTATTGTAATATCAAGCTCAAATCAAATCTTTTAAATTTTTTATATATAAAAAAAATACATTCTAATATTTCAAAATCGATTGAACTATTTTTTATTTTGTTGCTTTTGTAAAACATTTTACAAATTTTCATTCATTCATTCATTCATTTTTTTCAGCTATATTAGTAATATTGAATGTTAAATGTATTTAAATTAATCAATTAAATAATAAATATATATATATATAAGATAATTTTAAATTTAAAAAATATATTTATACAATTATAACGTATTTACTGTGAGGTTTTGAGTTTTGATTTTGAATAGTAAAATTGAATTGAAATAGTTGTTTGATGTGATATAAGTACGAGTTATGTGATATTTTGAATATAAAATTAGATTTTAGTATAATAAAATAAATAAAAAATTGTGTGTTTAATTTGATATTTTTAAAGGGAAAGAAAAATTGAAATAATAAAATCAGATTAAAATTTTACAAATAAACAGAGCCAACTATTCTATATTTTAAATAATAAAGATAAAAAAAAAAAAGGAATTTCGATAAATGTCAACACAAAAACACACAACACCGAACAAGGAAGTCCAAATCGAAATAGATGAATGAATTTGTAAAATCATTTACAAAAGAAAAATAAAATGGTTCAACGGATTTTAAATATTATGGTGTATTTCTTCGATAAAAGTATGAAAAAAATTTATTTGACTTTGGTATTAAAATAATATTTAATTGAGATATTTTGTAAATTAAATATATATATATTTTTTAGAGAAATGCAACATACAAAATCCAAATAGTATAATTATGAATATTTTTGTTTCAAAAAAATATGTATAATAATAAATATTATTTCAAAAATACAATTTTTATAATTAATGATATAAGTCAAATTTTAAAAACTTCCTTTTTGTATATTTATTTACTGCCTATAGTTAAGATATTCATAAGAATGTTATGAGAAAAGATATAATTTTTTTATTCTTATATTTTATAAAATAAATAGAGTCTTCTTACTTCAAACATCTTTTATATTTAAGCAAATAAATTTGATACAACAAAAAGAAAATATATATATATTTAAAAGAAGAATAATCATATGTATCAATAAAAAAAAAAAATTAAAGATCCACTAATTCAAAAGAAAATCTATTTAAAAAAAAATTGTGCTAACATTCCAAATGAATTTTGAGATTAAAAAAAAAAAAAATGTATTATTAATCTCACATAAAATAAAATTTTATAGACAAAAAAATATTCCAACCATCAATTCAAATGAATAAAAAATTATTAGAAACTTATAAAAAAACAAATTCAAAGCCTGTTAGATTTTTTTTTTTTTAAAAGAAAAACTTATTAGATTTTCAAAGTCACCATGATTGTGCGTCATGTTTTATGTTATGAATTATGCAGAAAAAGAACATGATGTTCAAATATGAGTTATTAATTACAAATTCTTAAATAAAATTGTTCAATATATTAAATATCATATTCCAAATGAAAGAAATTTACTAAATAGATTATATGATGTAAAACTATTTTCAAATTTTAATTCAAAGTTTGAATATTGGCAAATTCAAATAGTCAAATAAGATAAATATAAAACATATTTTACAGCTTCTTTTGATTATTACGAATAGAATGTAATGTATTTTAAATTAATATGAAAAAATGTAATGTCTTTTACAGGTCCTTTTGTTATATTATTATTACTTTGTATATAAAATTATTATTTAAATATATTTTGAATTCAAAAAGTACTTATATTTATATTTATGATCCAAAATAAATTATTGTAGGTATAATAGAAAAATTATTCTTTTTCCATATTTAATTCAATAAAAATTACTACTTTCTTTGTTGTAAAAATAAAATAAAATGTTACTTTCTTACTTCTTTCTCTCTTTTTTATACGGACGAACAACACAATATTTATAATTTTAATATTATTTTTTCTCTCTATTTTTTATTTTTTTTTCCTTTTAAGGTTACGATAAGACTTTTACTAATAATCCGTTTATTAATTTAAATGCTTCATCATTTTTGTAAAAAGAGTATTATTTCTTTTTTGCACATAAATTTTTTTATGTTAGAATTGTATTAATTTGTAATTAAAATGACAAATATTTATACTTAGTATTGTATAATACAAAAGTAATATATTTATATAATATATTATAAATTGTAAAATTATTTATAATATTAAGTAAATAATATACTTACTAGATATGAAATGACACCATTATATTGAAATTGAAAAATATGAAAAATAACACGGATGAAGAGAAATTACTTTTCTTTTATTTCAAAAGCCGTTTTCCCAACTTTGGGCCATAATTCAATTTACTGAAGGTGTTTTTTTCCAATAAAAATTATTTAAATTTTATTATTTGAATTTTGTATTTTCTAAAAAATATATATTTAAAATATTATTTTAATATCAAATTCAATTTATTATTTTTATATTTTTTTATAAAAAATACATTCTAATATTTCAAATCGATTGAACTATTTTATATTGTTTTGCTTTTGTAAAACATTTTACAAATTTGTTCATTCATTCATTTTTTTTGAGCTATATTAGTAATATTGAATGTTATATGTATTTAAATTAATCAGTTAAATAATAAAAAACATATAAAAAAAGACAATTTTAAATTTAAAAAATATATTTATTATAATTATAAAGGGTGTTTTGTTGTGAGATTTTGATTTTGAATAATAAAAGTTTGAATTGAAATATTTGTTTAATATGATATAAATATGTGTTGATGCACAAAATACCATGTGTTTTATTTATTGCGTGAAATATCCTTATTGTCCAAAATTGATATTTGATTATAAAGACTTAAATTAAGTAAGTTTAATACAAATAAAAAATGCTAAATATTTTAAATAATTTTTTGAATAAACTAAATAAATAAATAATTGATTAATATAGTTTTTGAAAATAAATTGTTATAAGATTTTTATAGAAACTATAAACATAAATGATTAATTAATTAATTATTTAAAAATTTACTTTTTTTTTATTGTTATAAAACTTACTTTATTTAGAACCAAATATGAGTTTTGGACTAAGAATTTTACAAATTTTACATTTATACAATAAATAAAATAAAGTATTTTATATATTTTTATATTATATAGTTTATTCTATTTTAAATAAAAAATATATAAAAAAAAGGAATTTCTATTAATGTCAACACAAAAACACACAGCACCAAACAAGGAAGTCCAGACCCGAAAGCAAAGCCAGAAGAGCCAGCACAGCCACAGCAGACGGAAGCAGGCGCGGCTCAATTTGGCGTTGGCGCTTAACCCAAAACTTGAAAAAGCAAGCAGCGCCATAAATTTGCTCACCAAAAGCCCTGCGCCTTCCGCCTGCCAAATGTCGCAACAAATCTGAATGCAGCCCTTTCGCCCCTTCTCCCCCTCCTCTATTTAGGGTTCACTATGGGAGAATTGCTGCCCACACCTTGCTCTGCTGCGGCGCCTCCTCAGTCAGGTGATTTTCTCCCTTTTGCGTTGATCGTCGTGGTACTGCTACTTGCCCACATGATGCATTCTTTGGATTACATATCTTGTGTTTTATTCTTCGCCTTCTGTGTGGATGGATGGATGATGGGTGATTGTTTGTTCCTCTTTTCCTCAATTTTAATCTGAGAAAATATAACTAGACTAGTAGTGGCTTCTACACAGCTCACCACTTCACCTCGGTTTTATCGAATCGACGGTTATTGCATCGGGTGGGAGGATGAGTGCCCTCTAGGGTTTTCTCGGTATTCATGTTTCGATCTTGTGGTTATGGAGATCTATACAGGGGATATGCTGTATAATCGAAGTTTCTTTACGTCCCCGTGTATGAATTGGATGGTGTTGATTTTGGAACATTTTTGTTAGTAGCGTGGCTGTGTGTCTGTGGAGTTAATAGGTTTCATATGACTTCCATGTATGTGTTAGACATAGAATGTTTTGAATCCACCAGAGCCTCTCTGTTCATAGTGCTTTGATTCACGAATCACCACCTATTGATATAGGTTTGAAGAAGTGGATTCATTGCAAAGTGCTAAATCCATGAGATTGTAACCAGTAAAATGTCTGTGTAATCAATTGGGTGTTTTTTTGGATGTTTAGTTGTGAGCTGTTGATGCTTTTAAAGGCTCATGGATGACTAGGATTAGATCTGAAAAGGTAAAGAATGTGTGGGCTATTTATGGAAGGCTGTCACCCGTAAATACTTGAATTTATAAACTTGCGAATTTGGTTTTTATGAATTGACATTTTAAATGGTAAGAATGCGGCGCCTTGTTGTTATGTGCTGTCTAGAATTTATTAGACAGGAATCTCTTGTGCTTTCATTTGTCCGTGGGCCCTATATTTTTTGTCGAGCATGCGATGCCGTTGCACTGTGGGCCTTATACTTTTTGTCGAGCATGCAATGCCGTTGCCACGTGTCTGTGTAAACACATCGACTATTTGAGATTGACTAGCCAACCTCTGAAAGTAATGTCGAATTAATCCAAACAGAGTATGATCAAATATGCTTTCCAACCTTGTATCCTTCTGACATGTGTTGAAATATAATTTGACGACGTATTTCCATTCATGAATTTTCGGAGTCTTTACTTTAATGCGATATGATTGATGTTTACTTAATAATTATTCTCCTGCTACATAGTGTAGTTTCACTGTGGGTAGTTTTGAAAGATTTGAGAAACTTTTAAACTGATTGCTGTACTCTATACTGAATTGTTTCATTCAGGCACTGCAATATCATTGCAGTAAACCATAATTTGACATTTATTTTTTATTTCAGGGATCAAAGAAAGCAAAAGCAAAGTTGGTTCTGCATCTAGTACAAAAATGGTTGACAGTAAACGGAATAAGAAGAGGGTTTCTTCCCAGACATCTGAGGAGTCTTCTGCTCCACGTAAAATGCCAAGGCGAGCAGCTGCTTGTTTAAATTTCAAGGAGACGTCTATTCGCATAAACAAAAAAGACTCGATAGTGGAAACAAAAAAAGAAGGGGTGGTTGTGGAAGAAATTGTGGCTGTTCGTCTGACTGCTGGGAAAGAGGATGTTCGTCCATGCAGACGGCTTACAGATTTTTCGTTACACAATTCAGATGGTGTTTTACAGCCATTTGAAATGTTGGAAGCTGACAATATCTTTATTTCTGGTCTTATCCTACCTCTTGAGGAAACTGCTGACAAAGAGAAAGGAAAGGGGGTTAAGTGTGAAGGATTTGGACGTGTTGAGGAATGGGCTATATCTGGTTATGAAGATGGGTCGCCTGTAATATGGATTTCTACAGAGATAGCTGATTATGATTGTCTTAAACCTTCTGGAACCTACAAGAAATTCTACGACCATTTTTATGCAAAAGCTACTGCTTGTGTTGAGGTTTACAAGATCTTGTCAAAACCTTCTGGAAGCAGTCTAAGCCTTGATGAGTTGCTCGCTGGGATTGTGCGTTCAATGAGCGGGATGAAGTGCTTCTCTAGTGGTCTATCTATCCGGGATTTCATTATTTCTCAGGGTGAGTTTATCTACACCCAACTTATAGGTTTGGATGAGACTTCAAAGACAGATCAGCTATTTGTTGACCTCCCCGTTCTAGCTGCTCTCAAAGACGAATGCCAAAATTTATCAAACCTTGCCCAAGCTCAATCTGGTTCACATCAGGGGAAGTTGACGATAGACCCAAAATGCAAGGATGAAAAAGGTAAAAATGTACCCGTTGCATCTCACTCAACTGAAGAAGATGAAGATTCGAAGATGGCAAGGGTGCTGCAGGAAGAAGAGCGATGGCGTTCTATGAAGCGGAAGAAAGGTCGGGGTACTACCACCTCATCAAGCAAATACTACATTAAAATAAATGAGGATGAAATAGCCAATGACTATCCCCTACCTGCTTATTACAAGACGTCAAATGAAGAAACAGACGAATATATAATCTTTGACAGTGACATGGATGTTCAGCATGTTGAAGAGCTGCCGCGAAGCATGCTTCATGATTGGGCTTTGTACAATTCTGATTCTAGACTGGTTCCATTGGAACTCCTTCCTTTAAAACCTTGTGATGAAATTGATGTGACCATATTTGGGTCGGGTATAATGACAGCAGATGATGGTTCTGGGTACAATTTTGATGATGATTCTACTGCTACGAGTGGTTCTGCGTCCAATCCAATTGAAGGGATACCAGTTTTCTTGAGTGCAGTTAAAGAATGGGTGATTGAATTTGGATCTTCTATGATTTCCATTTCAATACGAACTGATATGTCCTGGTATGTTACTCCTCTTCTATTCATTCCAATTCACTAGAGTTAAGCAGATAGTTCTACTATTCGCCTTTTTATCTTATCCTTTTCATTCCTTTGATTGGTTGTGATGTCCAAGTAAATAAGGAGCATCCCCAAACTCTGATTATCTGTTTTACTGATACCATTACCTAAAACCCATTGCTTAAACCCATTGAATCTCTAATAAGGCGCCGAACTTTAATAGTATGGGGGAAGCATTTATTGAAATTGTGTACTATATTATTCCATTTCTTAACAAAACATTACAATCATGATCAAGATTTATTAGCTTTACTGAGTAGTTGTGATTAACTAGTAATCAGTATAAGTTTCCTTTTCCATTATGTGAAAATTTTCTCATAATAAATACATTGTATTCCAATTCCTCAGGTATAGGCTTGGGAAACCTTCAAAGCAATATGCTCCTTGGTATGATCAAGTTCTGAAAATAGCCCGACTTGCTATAAGTATCATTACATTGTTGAAGGATCAAACCAGGGTGGCTAGACTTTCTTTCCCAGATGTTATTAAGAGAATTTCGGATCTTCCTAAAGACCACTCTGGGTTTGTATCATCTAACCCTCAGGTAGTGGAGAGATATGTGGTTGTACATGGTCAGATTATCCTGCAGCAATTCTCAGAGTATCCTGATGACAGTATAAAGAAGTCTGCTTTTGTGACTGGGCTTGCCCAAAAAATGGAGCAGAGGCACCACACTAAATGGCTTGTGAAGAAAAAGAAGCTTTTGCAGAGAAATGAACAAAATTTCAATCCCAGAGCTGCTATTGCACCTGTTGCATCCAAAAGGAAGGCTATGCAGGCAACTACGACAAGGCTAATCAACAAAATTTGGGGTGGGTACTACTCAAATTATTCACCTGAGGAATCAAATGCAGAAAGCCTAACTGAAGTTAAAGAGGTTGAAGAGATTGAAGAGCAAGAGGAAAATGAAGAGGATGATGTTGTGGAAGAGAAATTGGATGTATCAGAGAAAACTAAGATGCCAAGCTCCAATGCAAAGAAAGCCAACCTATCCTCACGCTCAAAGGGAGTAAAGTGGGACGGAAAATCCGTTGGTAAATTGCCTACTGGTGAGGTTTTATATAAGAAGGCAATAGTCCACGGAGGAGAAGTTGCTGTTGGGGGTGCTGTTCTGCTGGAAGATGATGAGTCAAATGATTCTCCATCTATCTGTTATGTTGAATATATGTTTGAAAAGACAGATGGAAGTAAAATAGTTCATGGAAGAATAATGCAACGAGGCTCTGAAACTGTGCTTGGGAATGCAGCAAATGAGAGAGAGCTTTTCTTAACTAATGACTGCATGACTTTCCAGCTTGAAGAAGTCCTACAGTCTGTGCATGTAGACATCAGATCAGTTTGTTGGGGCCACGAACACAGGAAAGCAAATGCAATTGCTGAAAAGAATGATAGAGCTAGAGCTGAGGAAAGGAAGAGCAAAGGTTTGCCAATGGAATATTACTGCAAATCTCTGTATTGGCCCGAGAGAGGTGCCTTCTTTGCTCTTCTTTATGATTCTATGGGCCTAGGATCTGGCAGGTGTAATGGATGCAAGTCAAATGAAGCTGACATTGAGAAGGAAAGTTTTGAACTGGATGACTCAATGACCAGTTTTAAATACCAAGGAATACAATATTCTATTGATGACTGTGTTTATGTGAGTCCTTACCACTTTTCTTCGGAAAGAGAAGCTGAAATCTTCAAGGGTGGGAGAAATGTGGGACTGAAATCATATGTCATATGCCAATTGCTTGAAATTTGTGAGTGCAAGCAGTCTAAACGTGAAGATGCCAGTGCTGTTCGTGTAAGAGTCAGAAGGTTTTTCAAACCAGAAGACATATCATTGGAGAAAGCTTATTCTTCTGATATTCGAGAGGTAATAAGCCCATGTTCATAATTTTGTTTAAACACCATATAACTTTATCAATTCCAGTGAATTTTGTCTAAATACATCACATTTATGTATTTCTTTTTATGTGGATAGTATTATCAAGATCTTTTGATATTGTTTTGCATTGGTTTTCCAGGTGTATTACAGTGAGGAAACACATACAGTGCCAGTTGATTCAATTGAAGGAAAATGTGGGATCAGGAAAAGGAAGGATCTAGGCCCTCAAGATGTCCCTTTCACTTTTGACCATGCTTTCTTCTGTGAGAATCTCTATGATCCTCGTACGGGATCAGTGAAGCAGGCAATGTTCTTTTCTATATTTATGTTCTCTTATGTATTTTTAGAATGCATTGAAACCTCATCTATCATATGTGTCGTGAAAGTTTGTCTGATGGTTTCCGTTTTCTCCTTTTTTGCTTTGGGTTCCATTTTCTTTTAATTGCAGTTACCTTCTCACATTAAATTACGATATTCAACGGATCAACTAAATGATGATTCTGCTTCTCGGAAGAAAAAAGGTAAAGGTAAAATGGATCCAGAACCTGAGAAAGAGAAAGATGCATCTCAGGGGAACCGCTTGTCTACTTTAGATATATTTGCTGGCTGTGGTGGCTTGTCTGAAGGACTACAGCAATCAGGCAACTTCCCTTGCTTCCGTTCGTATAATTAGTTCCATGGAAGTTTAGTAAGAAGTTAAGTCTCTAATGCTTTTAGTTCTTCAGGTGTCTCTTTGACAAAATGGGCTATTGAATATGATGCTGCTGCTGGAGATGCATTCAAACTCAATCACCCTGAAGCTACGGTATTTGTGAACAACTGCAATGTCATTCTGAGGCAACTTTCTCATCTCAAACTTAAATCTCTTTTGTGTTGTGGAAACATTTAGTGGGAAACTGTATAGATACTGAAATCACTCTATTTGTATGAACGCAGAGCGGTCATGCAAAAATGTGGAGATGCAGATGAGTGCATCTCAACCCCTGAGGCTGCTGACTTGGCTGCATTGCTAGACCAGGCAGAAATTGACAACCTTCCTTTGCCGGGACAAGTTGATTTCATCAATGGGGGACCGCCATGTCAGGTTGTAATTCTGTAAACAGTGTTACCTCTGAATTTCATTTATTACTAAAAGCTGAATGGCTAAAGTATTCAAGCATATATCATGCAGGGTTTCTCCGGGATGAATAGGTTCAATCAAAGCACCTGGAGTAAGGTTCAGTGTGAGATGATCTTAGCTTTTCTGTCCTTTGCTGACTACTATCGACCGAGGTTTTTCCTTCTCGAGAATGTGAGAAATTTTGTGTCCTTCAACCAAGGACAGACTTTTCGCCTAGCTTTAGCATCACTTCTCGAGATGGGATATCAGGTATTTACATGCTCTGTATCAATTGACATTTCGACTTATCAATTCCTGATAATCTGTTGCTGCTGTGTATTTTATTTGCACTATCAATAGGTGAGATGTGGCATTCTTGAAGCTGGTGCATATGGAGTTCCTCAGTCAAGGAAGAGAGCTTTCATATGGGCCGCTTCTCCTGAAGAGCAGCTTCCAGAGTGGCCTGAGCCGATGCATGTCTTTGCAGCACCACAGTTGAAAATCTCTATGTCGAAAAATTTGAATTACGCAGCTGCTAGGAGCACTACAAGAGGAGCTCCATTTCGCCCTCTTACAGTTAGAGATACAATTGGAGATCTTCCACCCGTGCTTAATGGCGCTTCTAACCAAACCTTGGAGGTATTTTTTAATAGCAACTGTGCTTGATAATTCATGTGTAACTTGTGATTTACTTGACACTCTTTTCGTCAAACAATGCAGTATCAGAGCGACCCCATGTCTTGGTTCCAGAAGAAAATTCGAGCTGGGATGACTGTACTGCACGATCACATAGCTAAAGAAATGAATGAACTTAATCTGATAAGATGCCAGAAGATCCCAAGGCGTCCTGGGGCCGATTGGCGTGATCTGCCAGATGAAAAGGTTGGTCCCTCCCTGCATATCCAAATAACAATCAATCAACACCTGAATCCAAAACCTTCTAAACTGTCTTCCCACATTTTACAGGTGAAGCTGTCGAATGGCCAAATGGCTGATCTGATCCCGTGGTGCTTGCCAAACACTGCCAAGAGGCACAATCAGTGGAAGGGGCTTTTTGGGAGGTTGGATTGGGAGGGAAATTTCCCAACTTCAATAACAGACCCCCAACCTATGGGTAAAGTTGGGATGTGCTTCCATCCCGAACAAGACAGGATTGTGACTGTTCGCGAATGTGCGCGTTCTCAAGTAAGTTTCCATTTCCTAGCTGTATTGAGATTCCATTGGATTAGAGATTCGATTAGAGGGCATGATTTCTAAGCGATTCGAATATGCAGGGGTTCCCGGACAACTACAAGTTTTGTGGGACAGTTCTGGACAAGCATCGGCAGATTGGAAATGCGGTTCCTCCTCCTCTTGCATATGCACTGGGACGAAAACTGAAGGAAGCTGTTGAGAAAAAGAAGCCATGAGAGAGAGAGAGACAGAGGTTCTTGGCATTGGTATTGTGTAAGTATTACTAAAACTCAAAGGTTCTTTTCCCTCCTTGACTGAATGCCAGTCAAGTTCTTGGGTAGTATTGTTGGTATTAATATTATTGATAGGGAGACTTAGAGAGAGAGAGAGAGACTCTTTGTCTGATTCAACTGAAGGCCATTAAAACTATGTTGTGTTGTGTTGTGCTGTGCTGTTTGGGAGAGAGATGATTTAATTATGAATGATGACAGGCAGATTAGATGGAATGAATGATGTCAAAAGAGGCATATGATATTGATACATTATAGAGTTAATTAGTTTGGCTAAGTAAGATATGTGATCATTTACTCTATAAGATCCGGATCATCATCATCATGCCTTGTCAGATTTTAAATGAAAATTATTTATTGAATATGATTTTTATTTTTAAAGATTAAATAGTGAAAAATAAAAGAGCAAAAATTATTTTCAATTTCATTCAATATTATAATTATTAATTTTTGTTATATTGAAATTTCTTTACCAATTTTGGTTTTATTCAAATAAAAATTTATCAATTTTATTTTCACGATGATTGAGTGAGACTGAATACAGTCGTGTTAGTTTGATTATTTTGCATTTTTGAACACGGTGGTGTTCCTGTTATGTCAGAACACCACTATGTTTTAAATCATGTTTTCGACCTTGTTTTTAATAATAATAAATATGATCTATAATATGATTATATTGAAAACAAGTCTAGAACATGTTGTATTCTAACACGGTTAGGAATGTGTTCAGAAGTGGTAATAAGCACTGCGGGTTGGCTGTTTGGAAAGCCCAACCACTCAACCATCATCAACAAAAATTGATAAATTTTCATTCAAGTAGGACCTAAAAAAATTCAATAGAACAAAATTGATAATTATAATATTGAATTAGACCAAAAATAATTTTTCCTAAAAAAAAAAATTATAAGGATGTTTAGATTTTGGATATTTTGCTCACATGCAGAAAAATTGAATGAGCAAGCACATGCGTGGATGAGATTCGAGCAATTCCCTTCTACACTTAAAATCATGCAGCTCTTTTGTTTTTCTTTAACTTTTTTGTTTTTTCTTAATTATTTGTTCTTTATTTTATTGTTATTTTACACATGCTCGTTCCCGACATGTCGGGAGTTCGGACCGAAATATAAAAATATGGCCCTAACAAATATTTATTTTTATAAAATATTAAACAATAAACAATATAACTTAAAAAGATTTATATCAACTCAACTACTGAGATTATTCCATCAAAATCATTGATTTTATACACTATATTAGTATTCTTTCATATTTAGCTTAATCGTCACTTTTGTCACTTTACTTTCACTCATTAGTCTACAAATTATAAATAAAAACACATAAGTATTATATAAAATTACTCAGAATATTTTTCGATACAAAATCATTAATAATATTATCAATAGAAATGGTTTCTAAAATTTTATTTTTTTCAATAGATAGAATAGCTGAATCATTCAATATTTCTTGAGTGATAGTTGACCTCAATTATGTTTTCAATCATTTTACGTTTAAAAAAACTTCTTTCGATGGGAATTGTTCATAAAATTCGAGAAGTAATTGAAACATTTAAATAACAATAACATATTTAAGAATTGATGAATTTAAATTACCTGATAAAGTCATTTATAAAAGTTTAAATTCGATAATAAAATTTTCTAAATCAATATCACACAAATCATTATGAGATAAAATATTTGAAAAAATAACACAATATTTTCTAAGTTTATTATCATTTAAAAATTTAAATTTTTATAATTAAACAACTCAAAAATATCATTAAATATATATAAATTGTTCAAATATTTTATTTAAAGATATAATAGTCATATTTATACAATAATTAAAAAATAATTAATTTTAAATTGTTCATTTCTTACAATGATTTTTCTTTTCTTTTTCTATATATTCATCTCTTTTAATATAGTATATAAGATATATATATATATATTGGAAAACACGCATGAGTTTTGAATCGCCCTCTTGAGCTGGGCTCTAGGCCATTGTTCTCATGGCCCTAGGGACGGGCTTGATTTTACAAGTTTCTTTTAAAAAAAAATGTTTAATCTTTGATTGTGATTTATACATATAATTTGTCATTTTGAATATAGTTTTAATTAATGATTTATTGATTGCATATATTGCTCTCTATGGCTTCTAAGTATCTTCCCAACCTTATATAATATTCAAGATGATCATGATTGTATCACAGTCGTCGGATTATTTTTTTATGTTAATTCAATGATTGATATTTATCGAAGGTATTTTAGAGATTTTAAAGAACAATTAATTAAATGGTGATTAATTAAGAAAAACTTAAATACTCACTGGATCCGTTATATTTGGAAATATTAATCTACGTAAATTTAAAAACATGAATTGTATTGATTTTTATATTGTATTGTCAGTAATATTTACTACTCCTCCGTCCCATCACAAAATATCAATTTTATTTTTTAATAATTGTACTGTCTACTTACAATGTATTACACAAATGTCATTACCTTTGTATCACACAATACTAATAATAAGATTATTTTAGTCCTTTATGCTTTATTCCTATTTCATCTAAATCTAATATTAATATTTCTAAAACTCCGTGTAGAAAACAAACGAAAATGTAATTATGAGATGGATAGAGTATTATATTTACTATCCCAATTTTTTTTCCCTTCAAAGTGTGTTTCTTTTGTCAAATGTTCTCAAATTTTACTATTTCGTATGTATTTTTCAAAAATAAAAATTCCATACTAAACATCTTATCAAATATTATTTTAATACCAACTCAAATCAATTTTCTCCAAACTCACCCAAAAGAAACACTATCATTATATTATATTAAAATTTAATTTTATATTTAAAATATTACATCAATATATATGTATATCACATCAAATAACTATTTTAATTTAAAATTTTACTACTAAAAATTAAATCCCAAAACTAAAATTCCACAAATAAACACCAATATATTATTTTATATAACTCATATTTCGGTTTCAATTATAGTACGTGACTATTGTCATATACAATCTATTCAAATGTTATAGTTTTATAGTACGAGATGACCTCGTAGCGTAGAGGTTGAACTTGTTACTTTAAGGTCATGGTTTAATCCCCCCAACCCCCAAGGCCTCATGTCGTACTATAAAGAGCAATAATACTCTTTTTATTATAATATATTATATTATGATGAGTCCTCCCATAAGGGACAAATTAATATATTGGTCGCCTAGTGGAGTTAGTGGGTGGCAGTGGGTGGTGTGTCTGGCTGATTTTCAGGCATGGCAGACTGGAAACCAGGATGCACCTTGTATGATTCATGGAGCTTCCCCAGCACAGGATACTCATTCTGCCCATTCCAAATCAATCAATCAATCCAATCATGGATGATTCAACAACAAACTAACTAATTAACTTACCATGTCAAGATTAAATCTTTTCACTGCAGCATCGATTTGAGGTGCCAAGAACAAATCAGCCTGCACAACCATTGAAGCCTGGACTTCAGTTTCCATGTTAAATTTCACTACTGTGCATCAAAATAAGTTTAACCAACCAACCAGGAAAACTTCATCTCCTGTAGCATATGTTCCGGCATGGCTTTGCAGTAGCTTCTCCAGTGCTGCATTTTCATTTTGAGAAACAAAAATGAGATATATATATATCTATCATATTTTATACAGTAGGTGTCACGGTCAAAGCTTTACCAAGGAATCCATTTTTAATATGATTCTGAATCCAAGAAAGCATCTCGTCCTGGCCGAGCTTTTCTTTGACATATACCTGAAATTTCAGAAACAACTAATTATCTTACCTTCTTTGTTTCCATAGTGAAAAAGCTCATAGTCACACTAATCAGCATTGAAAGGTATCTCTGGAAAGGAATCAAAGGTGTTGGTGATTATAAACTCACAATGATGGGCAAATTCTGATACGTCTGTATACTTGAAGCAACAATACTTGCTGCCTATAATGAGTAAAACAGGAACAGTTAATATGCATTTTGACCAAGTACATAAAAAATTTCTTCAACTGATTACATTAAGCAATGGGTGCTCCCTGGATATAAAAGAGAACAAGTTGGTATTGTTAGATGCATGCCTGTGCCGTTATCTTATACTAGCGTTCGCAGTTGGATCACAACAAAAAAGAAAAACCCCGCCACCAGATCGCATGATACAGGAGACCAGTCTACGGATTATATGCACTTTATATTAGCGGATGCAAATGCGACATTATAAGCGATGTTTATTACATGGGATTGTTGGGGATTAATTACTCCGACATGTTTATTCAAAAAATGTGGATTAAATAAATCCCCAACAACCCATCTAGTAAAAACATCCATACTCTACTTATTATCTGCACTTCCACCAGATGCCTGAATCTAATGGCAGTAAAAGAAGAGACAGAAGTTCACATTCTGTCCATTTTTCACATCCTGTGCTAGCTCGTTGTCTGATTAAACATAAATTAACTATTATTTTAGGGAGGATAGCATAAGCTTTGCTGAAAAAATGCTATCAGCAAGCACTACCCAAACTAATTTCTAACTGGATAACGCCGTCATCTGCAAATACTACTAAGCTTTGCTGTAAAATCGTAGGGATGACTGCATAAATTTTTCCACAAAAATGCAAAGAGCAAGCACTACCAAAAGCAAATCCTAATCCAAAGAAGCCTACAATGCTGAAAAGCAAGTTCATAAGACATTGCAATGCAACAGATCAGTTTCGCAACATCACAAAATCATATTTGAATTCTGTCTGTATATGAAGTAAATATAAACAGACATTGACGGTATGAAAAAAATAAATAAAAAATGAAATGGTGTCATCCCCACCTGGTAGTTCAGAGCCTTCTTCTGAAGATCCTTAGGCAACAGTGACCTTTGAGGATACTTCTCTTCCAAATACTGCAAAGTGCCAAACCCATAAGGTCTACAACAGTTAACCAAGTGTGCTTATCACTACTACTGTAAGTGCGAATACTTGCCAACAAAATTGCCAAAGAGTCAGCAACAACAAAGTCGCCGTCCACAAGCACGGGTACTACTCCAACCGGATTAAGCTTCAGAAATTCTGCATTCTCCAGCAATATTTCAATATGTTGAGATTACATATTATCTAATCACAAAATAAATCCATGGTGCAGATGAAATAAAGGCAGGGAGGATCAAACCTGGGGATTTCTGCTCTCCCTTCAACAAGTTAACCGGAATGTATTCATAATCCAGATCTGTCGGTTTCCCGAAGTTCCGATAACACGATTATTCGCAAATTTGGAAGAACAAACCATAAGTTTCTCGCGATAAACAAACTACTTCTCAAAAAGTGAAACAGAAATTGAACCTTTCAGACTGAGAGCAATCCGTACGCGGCAAGAGCAAGAGCTTCTCCAGTAAGAATAGAGCTTCAGCTTCCTCGACTCCTCGCTGCCGCCACTTGCCTGAATCGAAGCATCAAAAGTTCAAAACTTATGAACCAAAATCAAATAGCATACTAGTATTGAGAAATTCACCATGATATGATCAAAGCAACTTCAGATACGAAAAAATTGCACTGATTGGTAGAAGATGAGGATGAGGTTGTTATGAGATGAGAAGGGCAGTCTGCCAGTCAACGTTCCGTCGCTTGGGAGTATCGCACAGCTACAACCTAACCTGCGTGAGATTGAGATTGAGATGCTTTCGGCAGAAAAATCCGAGTGATATCGTTAAACCTTAGTCCGGCACGGCACACAAAAGCTCAGCCCGAAAAGACAAAGGGCTTTTAGTACATATTTTTACTTGGTAAATTATATAATAAAAATGAATAATACATCTAATATTTTATTATCGAGTAAAATTTACACTAAATATATTTTTTCTTTGACTCTAAATAAATAGCAAATAAAAATTTAAAATATTTTATATAATTTTTTAATAAAATAAATAAATAATTTATTAATTCTAGTATTTGGAGACAAATTATTATTTAATTTTTATAAAAATTATAAAAATACATAATTCATCAATTATTATTTATTTATTTTGTTAAAAAATTATTTAAAATAAAAAAAAATTAATATTATTTTCGTCAAACCTAATGTCCGGATTAATGTAGAATATGGATTTAAAATAAATATAATTAAGATTAAATAACTAATTAATTTGATTAAAATTATAAATTTTAAATTTTAAATTTTAACATAAGATTAAAATGGGTAATCATTTTTTTTTAAAAAAAATTACATGAAATGTGGGACGACAGAATTAATGTGACACAGTTTGTGTGACGAATGGAGTATATGATTAAAAAAAGTTTAAAATATATATTTAAATATTTTAAAAATTCTATTTTAATAAAAATATATGCAATATGAATATTACTTTAGATTTTTATAAATTAATTTTATAAAAGATGAATAGTTTTAAATATAAATAAAAATATTTATTTATTGAGACGAAATATAAAAATAAAAAATTTTGAATAATTTATATATGTTATAAAATCAATTAAATTAATTTATATTTTTATTAAGTATATTCCAAATTAATAAATTTTACTAAATATAAAAATATGTAATTTATAATGAAATATACTAAAATAAAAATAATATCTTTTGATATAAATTAAGAGAGTATTAAATATGAATAAATCATATTAAAAATATAAAAATAACATCTTTTTTTATTAAAATTATTGGTTTTTGTTAATAAATTGAATATATAGTATATAATATAATAATGGGGTAAACTGTTTTTTTAGTCTCGTAACTGGACCCCTTATCATTTTAGTCCCGTAAGTGGAGTCTGTCGCAAACTAGTCCAATAAGTGAAATTTTTTTGTTGTTTTAGTCATTCGGCACCGGAGACGCCCGCCTGGCTCGCCGGAGGCTACGTGTCCACCAGGTCAACGACACCTGGAGGACACGTAGATATTTTTATTTATTTTTTCATTTTTTAAAATTTTTTTAAAAACTTTTTTTAAATTTTATATGTATTTTTTTAATTTTTTTATTTGGTCCAATTAAAAAAAATTGAAAAAAAAAATCCACGGACATGTGACTTCCGGCGAGCCACGCGGGTGTCTTCGGCGCCGGAGGACTAAAACAACGAAAATTTTTCACTTATGGGACTAATTTGCGACAGACTCTGCTTACGGGACTAAAATGATAAGGGGGTCCTACGAGACTAAAAAACAGTTTACCCTATAATAACGTGTGCATGGTATATTCTAATATTCTCTCCGTCTCAGATACCATGTCCACGTTGCCAAAAATGATTACACACTTTAATTTTATTTTAAATTTTTTATTTTTTTTAAATTTTAATTAAACTAATTAGTTATCTTAATCTTAATTTATAATTATTTATATTATAGAATAATTATTTTCGCTAATATATTTTTAATTATCGACTTATTACATCCTCCTAAAATAGACGGAGGGAGTAATATTTAGTTATATCCCGAAAATTTATATGGTGAGTAAACCCAAACTTTGGCAATTTGTTTAATAGTTCGAGGTTATCCACCTAATTAAAGTGATTGGTCGATGAAATAATAATACTTAAGTTATAGTCCAAAATTATTTTCTGTTAAATTACTCTATATATTTAATTTGAATTTTTTATTTTTTAAATATGAATAATTAGCTATTAGCTATTAATTGATGGTAGAGTTTTGGTTCAATAAGTATTTGATTTTAGTTATTATATATGAAAAGAAAAATTATTTATAATCCATACTATGTGCTATTCTCTCTTTAATATAAAATGGGTAAACTTTTTTTTTTACTCTAGTAACTAGACTCCTTTATAATTTTAATTTCGTAAGTGGAGTCTGTCGCAAATTAGTTCTATAAGTGAAAAATTTCCGTTGTTTTAGTGTTCCGGCGTCGGAGAAGCCCGCGTGGCTCGCCGGAAGCCATATGTCCGCCAAGGTGTCTCGCCAGGTCAGCGACATCTGGCAGACACATGGATTTTTTTTTTTTTTTTTCAGTTAGACCAAATAAAAAAATTTAAAAAGACAAATAAAATTAAAAATAAATTTTTTAAAAAATAAAATAAAATCCACGTGTCCGCCAAGTGTTGCTGATCTAGCTGACACGTGGCCTTCGGCGAGCCACGCGGGCGTCTCCGGCGCTGGAGGATTAAAACAGCGAAATTTTTTCACTTATGGAACTAGTTTGCGACAGACTCCATTTACGGGACTAAAATGATAAAGAGGTTCAGTTACGGAACTAAAAAACAATTTATCCATATAAAATTTATACCAAATTTCAGTGTATTTTAAAATATATTGCATTTGTTTTTAAAGATTCTATACTAATATTTTAACAAATACAAAGTAATTTTATGCAATTTTTTAAAAAAATGCAATAATTTTGAACATATGAGAAGCTTGTGCAATTTCTAAATATTAGAAAATAAGGAACTGACTTTTTAAACTAGAAGTGAAGCATATGTGATTTTGCCTATTTAAAGTGACATATCGATATTTTATATTTTATTTTTAAAATATTCAATTGTATTCTTTACAAAGTATTTGAGAATTAAATAAGTTAACAAAAAAAATTAATTATTTGAACAATCAAATAACTAATTTAAATATTTAGCAAATAAACTTTATAAAAAATAAATTACCTTAAAAGTTTATTCTTTAATTTTTAACAACAATATTTTTATTTCTTACATGTTATTAAATATTAATCATTTCATTTACATACATGTTGGCTACAGTTATCATACAAATCTAATCTTTCGGATTATCTTATACTCAAACGGTGGAGATGAAGACGAGAATAACATCATAATATAATTTAGTTATAGTAATTTTTCTAACTGGTATATTTCATTGTGCATGATCTTATATCTGATAATTTCACAAAAATTCTAAATTCGAAACCTTAGCTCACACCTTCAACGCCAAATATCATAGGGATGACCTGGTGGTGTAAAGGTTAGACTTGTGACTGTGAGGTTATGGGTTCAAACCTCCGACGCCTCAAGTCATTTGCCACACATGGTTACCCAATGCGCTACGCCATAGTGTTAATTTTCACCCGTAATGAAATAAATGCGGAATAAACTTGATTTTATTAAAGAAAAATTAACGAAAAATAAAAAACAAAGTTTGAACTATGATTTGGTTTTAGGCTCAGCCCCCAAATCACCCACCAAAACACAAAATCGACAAAAACACACATACAACGCGACATACACAACCAAACTGGCCCGAGACCCTCAACTTAGACTGAAAACAACCCCCACAAGTAAGGAAAAACAAAGCAACAGTAGAACAATGGCCAAAGTAAAAGAAACCATACAAACCGAAGGCTAAACTCGATGTCGAACCCCTTGCAATTTGAATCGAGACAGTGGGGAACTGAAAGCACCTCTAATCTCCACAGAAAACAGGAGAAAGAAGCTCATCGGATGCTCGTCGGAAGTCGCCGGAGAAGAATATGTAATTTCCTATAGAGAAAAGTGTGTAAAAAGAGAGGCGAGAGAGTTTAGAGAGAGAGTGTGTGTATAAGGGTGAGAGTGTTAGGCGGCTCCCTCTCTTTACTTGTATATATATATATATAGGTTAGAAAAGATCATACGGCCTGATCAAACGGTTTACAGCAGGTCTAGAAAAATAGATGCAGGTCAGCGGGTCATAGAACCGGGTCGGAGGGTTGGGTCACGGATTATGGGTTGGCACCAGGTTTAATTGGGCCACAAAATATATATGTGTTTGTGTATGGATCCAATAATTGTCTAAAAAATTATCATCAACAAAATTTTTATAACAATCCGCCACCTAATTTTGGTTATGGGTGACTGGGGTCATCATTGCCCAATAGAAAAAAAAAAAAAACAAAAACAAGTTAGTCAAAAATACATTAACTGAGCCTAACATCTACATACATGTAGAACACAACTAATCAATGTATCAAAACATATTATTTTCAAACAAGATACAAGTTTCTTAATTTTCCACAATATTGTATCTTCAACAGTAGAAATATATTCAAATCCAAACTTTGACAGAATTACATTACATTGTAAATGTGTCCTACAACCAAAACATGTTGCACACAATATACAAACAAAGACAGTAGCAAGCTGCACAAGTTTCATATAATTCACAACCAATGATAACACAATGCAAAGAAGCTAATGGCAAAACCTAGGAACTGATTTCAAACACTTATTATCAACTAATGAGCTCTTATTTTCTTTTACCACTAAACATTGAGACTTACTTTCGGAATTAAAAAATTTCCTATCACTCATAGGTTTATCCACATCTAAGTTCTCAAACATACTTCTAGGTATAGAAGATGAATCAAAAGTACCAAACATAGAGAACACTTTAGACTATTTCTAACATCATCTCTAACAAATAGGTAATTTTCAATCTCATAAAATGATTATAAACAATTCCAACATTACTTTTAATTTCTGAAACTGTATTTTTAGTTTTCCTCACAACAGGCTGGCCAGTAACATATAAGATTCGAAAATCACCAACAAAAATATCAGTTTCATTATATAAAACAAACTCCACCTCATTTTGAACACTATAAAAAACAGTATTAATTTCTCTCTCAAATTTGATATTATCAGTTTCAACATCAATTTGCGCAATTTCAGCAGATTGAATACAATTTTCATCAGAAACAGAATTAATATCATCACAATTAAAAACATAATATCTCACTCTCTCAGCCTCTGAATTTTCATTTTTTAGAACAGACTCACTTTCAGCAATA